TTCATATACGTTCTTGGCAGATGATCCAGAAGTGGTTTGCCATTGCCTTCTTCTGTGTGTGAATGGAGTAATTGTTGGGATGCCACGGAGAAACTGGGGAATCCCCCGGAGGAAAACTCTGTGTTGCCTAGACCACGGCCTTGCCCAACACAAGTTATAAATTCGGGTACCGCCGGGAATTGAACCCGAGACCCCAGGATTACAAGGCCAGCGTTCTAACCGCTAGACCACCGTGGCGGAAACTGAATTATGTGATATTAATATTTTAATATCTTTGTGCGGTTAATACGGATACTAATATATAGAAGAGGGGTTGTTTAAATTGTGTTTCAGATATTATTTTGTTTGTGTAGTAGGATTCTCATCCATGATTAATATGCTACACGTCGTCCCCTGTCTAGCAGAATAATGCCCAAATAGTCTGGAATAAGGATTAAGCATTAATCCAACACATCTTTCAAAATATTCTAAAAGGATTCCGTCTCAGACGCTTCTAGTTTTAAAATACATAAATCGACAAACACATATAATGCAATGATTGATTTACTGTCTCTGTAAAATAGAAGGGAGAACCAGATGCACAGAACATCAGATACAACAAACAGAAAAAAAGATTAAGTACATTCAGAATACGGCATTTAATTTCCTGAATATACGGTTCACTTTGAAGTGATTTGCAAATTCAAATCGTGTTCCTTACAGTTTTAAAAACAAAACTCTTACACAGTTTCATTTCCAACCACCCCAGCAATAACGCTCTCAAAATATAAATGAGCGAACTGTACATAAGATGTAATAACTCATACCGATTCGTCCCGTCAAGGCACGCCCTCGGAATTCATTTGAATGCATTACAGAAGCAGCTTCTGCCCGATACATAATGAAACGTAGCGGAAGAACATGCTAAGGGATAAATACGAACAAAAACGGTGACACATTTAAACCTGCATGATGCCTGCAGAATACACTTACCAAGCATCAATCATAGGGAATTAGAATTAGACGCACTGCGTTTAAGAAAGTTCCGTGTTAAACCCCTTAAACCACGGTGGTAAATCAGCTTTAACAGTGAGTACATTTGCGTTTTGCCACAGAGCATATTTGTGGGTTTTGTATGATTCTGAGAATCTACCTTATATATTCCAAGACGTATCTCCCCTTCAGGTTTTCCG